ACCGTATATTGGGTTTTGGAGGAATGCATGGCTCTAGAGATATCCTCATACATTTCCTCCACCTCCTCATCGGGTTGTTAACGAGAGACTTGTGGACGATAAATGCGACACCTCCTTGGGACAGATGGTTACCCTCCCGGTGATAGAGCTAGTTGCCGGATTCAAGGATTACCGTGTCCTCCCCCTCTGTTCGGACTTCGGATAATCCTATAATATGCCAGCGCAACTTGTCTATCTCTTCTTCCAGCTCCACGATCTTCTCGTCAGTCCTCAGGGTGCGTGCGTGGTACGTTGCCAGGTCGAGTCGTCTAAGGTGGCAACCGAACCTCCACCGGAGATTCTTAGCACCCCCTGCCCCGCCGTTACCATGGTCGCCACCGTAGCCAGGAATAGCGGCGCCACCGGGGACTGGGGGTCGTCTTTTTGTTGCTCTAATCATTGGGGGGGGGGGGGGGGGGTATTTGCCATAGTTGTCACGCTTGGCGAGCGGGTTGGCAACCGCAGTTTTTTTATTGTAATTTTGGCTATTATCAGGAAGATGCTGCTGCCCATCTCCTGCCTGTTTCCCTTTGTCGCCTTTTACGACACCCACGGGAAGATATGGTGTAGTGGATATTCTTGACCGCCACTGCTAAAAACGGCTAAAAGAAACTTATTTTTACTTAATTTTAATTCCGGCTTATCGGTTGTTTTATAGTACGAGTTGAATTAAAAATAAGTACCTAAATATTTTTTACTGTCATATTAAACGCGATTAAAACCGTAAAATTATTTTCGTTCAACGAACTCTAAAGCAACGTGTCTATTTAATAAAACGTAGTGTCAATTAGTGGAAATAAATATTGATTATAAACAAATATTACGGTTGCCAACCTTTGAGTTAAGTGAGTACGTGGCAGCTATGACAAATGTCACCCCTGAGAGACATTCTATGGGGAGGCCTATGTTAAGCTGTGGACTTTTGATAGGCTATAATGATTGAATGAATGATGAATGCAAAAGTTAGTCCGTCGCGCTCCTCCAATACGGTCTGGCAGAATTTAAAGCCTATCCAAATTCAGTGCTGAATATAGACCTCTCCAATAGATTGCCTCATAAAGGGGATATTTGCCATAGTTGCCATGCGTCTATACAAATAATAGTTTTAAATACTAATAATTTACTACGTTCTCAGCGGAAGAAAAACGTCTTAGAAAACGCTGAAAGTCCGATGAATTAAATATTTCTTATTATAATCTCCAATTCCCTCTCGTCTATTATATATAATAGCTTATCCAATTTAATAGCTTCTGCCCTGTTTTTAGTACCAACGACTGCTGAAGGCCTTTTTATGGAAGTCGTTATTTGGTTGATTGTTTAAATATTACATAAATATATTTTATAGTTTTGTTTTCATTATAATATTAAAATAAAAAAAACACATCCATCGGTAACGACTGTAAAAAACTACGTTGCAATTTGCGCTTTTCGTAAGTTCTATAACTTCAGTCCAACTTTTTATTGGAATGAATGATAACAAAATCCCATAAACTACAAAAAATCTGTCCGGTTTCGCTTATTTCTGAGCCGTGGCGCGTTCTGATAGTTTTCTTCATTAATATTGTGGATTTTGTATGTTAATATTTTTGTATAAAATATTTACATGCTATTGAGTTATGAATAATTAAATTTTTCGTTTGTCATCTGTCCAAGCTAATCTTCATAAAGGCTGAATCGATTTTAATAAAACTTCACGAAAAATTAGCGAGTAATACCAGGAGTGATCTAGATAAAATTTTATCCAAAAAATTATGACATTTTATTAAAATAGAAATATTGACAGGCGCAAACCAGAGCGGGTCGCTAGTTATAAATGTTATTTTAAAATTAATGTTTTTAATATTTACATTTTTGTATTAAATATTTACCCATTAATAGAAATTTTCCAATTTACCGAATAATATAACGGTGTAACGATATACCGTTATTAGCTGGTTTTCGCTATTGTTACTGTGCATTTTGATGGCGCGGGCTCGATGAGCCGCTATTCCTAATCCCATTCTTTATCCGTACGAATTTACATAATATAATAATATATTATATGTAAGTTAATATGTTTCAACAGTGCTGTTCGAAGGCATTAAAGAAGTAAGACAATAAATTAATGCTTAAATTAGATTTATTTCCAAATATACAGTCTGTTTCTTAAATAAGACGAATCAATAAAAACAATCTATTTTAACTAACGTCTATAGTATAGGAATAAATTTACATAAATTATTCGCAATAAAAAATCTATTATTTTATTCTTAGATTCACCTAATCTTACGTATACAATAAATTAAATGACGTCTATTTACATAGAGTTCCCCATCTTAAGTAAAAAGCACTAACAAAGTATTATTATATTATAGAAAGCATTTGTACATAGCATACCGTAATATATTTTAATTAAAGTTAAGATCCAACAACGCAAATTAAATAGAAAATTAAGTCATTAAAAATAAAACACCATCTTGTAGTTAATAATAGGTTTAAACGTCTTTTATGAACTATTGTAAAATATAAAGTTATTAAGAAAAACCATTAAAACTGGAATTTGTCTGTGGTAGAAATGAATTATGTAAGCCGTAAAAATATAAGCAATTTGCAATTACGTGTTATTATGCGGAAAATGTGCAATTAGCATTTATAATATTACAGAATTTGAGTGCATAATTATTGTGTTATTACTAAGATAACGTGGAGACAGCGTTAAAAGCCGGCCAAGTGCGAGTCGGACTCGCGGGACAAACGTGTTTTACGATGGACTGTAGGGTTCCGTAGCATCGTAAAACACGTTTCTAGTAAGGGAGCCGCCTTTAATTTTTAGTTTATTTTTCTCATTTGTTGCTATAGCGACAACATAAATACACATTCTGTGAATAAATCAACTGTCTACCTATTACGTATCATGAGATACAACCCGCTGACAGACAGAGGGACGGACAGCGGAGGCTTAGGAATAAAGACCCATTGGTTACCGTTCGCGTACGGAACCCTAAAAAAGAGGAGTTCTTTAGACTGTGGTTATTTATTTATAGTTATAGTCAGTTGAGATTTAAAATTGGGTCATTAAATTTAGGATTTTAAACGGGAATAGTATAGCTACGCTATAGAGTTGACGACTCTATAGCGTAGTGTAATAATGTGTTAAGAGTCACGCTGCAGCTATATTATGGTTCGACCGGGGAACGACCACAGTCTTATGGTATAATAAGTTAAATATCAGCTTAATGCTGCTGTGTTTCATCTATTTTACTAGTAACGAGGCATGGTGTCTTAATCTTCAGGGTTGACATAGTATCCTTCAATTAATACTGCAGCATGGATGCTACGTGCACACGTGTTAATAATGCTGCTGTGTTTCGTATGGTGAGTGTAGAGAGCCGGAGAAACGTTTTACTTTTAACAAAGTAGTCCATCTTAGTCCTAAGTGGTGACAACACATCTGCATTTTGGTTATCAATCGAGGATAGATGTAGATGTTTATGGGCCTCAGCGACCACTTACCATCCGGGGGGCTGTGTGCTTGCTTGTCGTCCTTATTTTTTTTTAAAGGATAGGGTGATAAATGAGCACACAGTCCACCTGATGGTAAGTGGTTGCTGTTGCCCATAGACATTTACATCTATTCTCGTTTGCAAATCAAAACGGAGATGCGTTGTCGGCCGTGAGGACTAAGATGGAATGCCTCTTTTCCAGTAAAAAGGGTCTCCGGTTCTCTACACTCACCATACGAAACACAGCAGCGTTAAGCTGCTATTTAATGCCGGTATTCTGTGAGAAAACGGTCCTTCCCCGGTCGAGCTGACCCATTCGTGCTACAACTATACTACTAATATAGCTGTAGCATGGCTCTACCACATAATGCATCATGGCTCTACCACGTAAATATTCAAATATCCTTATTTCATTTGTGGAGCATCGTGGTCGAGTATCGTGGATTTTGGCTCTGCTCTCACCAGCTTACTCGTACTGTTGAAAGGCCAGTTAAAGTAGTCTAAGGTCTAAGGCCAGTCTAGTCTAGTGTAGTTGGACTGTTGACGATCATCATTTTTGTGATGTAAGTGAATCTCGAAAGCATACGAGAAACTAATAATGTATTTGTAGTATCTATTTCTAGTCTATATAATATTTTAATCAGCAGCATCAAGTTATTAAATAATTTTATAGTTACATGCAAATGTACGCAAGTGACTTGAAATTAGATGGTTCAAATCGTTTACTGATGGCACCATCTTACTTCGATTTGTAATTTTAATTATTGTTGATAAAAATAGTATTGCTGATGTTTGAAGATAATGGCCGCGGAGAATTTATGTTAGCACAGTTATTCAAATGTTGTCTATGGCTTCATTATGTCTATATTTACAAATATATTATCTATATTAATATGTGTGGGGGAAAATAATTTTAACTGTATTACATTTAATACCAATTCAAACATATTTTGCAGAAATTTGAGTGAGATTTTTGAGTATAGAATCTTAAATTACAGTACGTTGTAATAGTTATAATTTGTTAAACTTGTATACATCGATGATACATTGCATCTAGAGTAGAATAGTCGATATATTAATGTAAATTACATTTTTTTGTGCTCCGTATACATGTAGACATTGCTACATAATATTAGATAATATAAAAGCAGGATTTTTTGTTAGTTATAGAGTGTGCAATAATAATGTATAATAATAATTAATGGAGGAAGTTATTGACGACTTTCTCCGTGAATTTGGAGGGCCTTACAAATTATATTACATTTTAGAAGTGCTACAGATTTACATTTATAATAACAATGCGACTTTCCTACTCTATTAATAACATATTAGGTTCGGGTGTCAGTTCCCGTGTTTTTACCAATGATTTATTCATAAAATCAATTTTTTGTGAATGTGAAATGCTTAATTTGAATTTTACAGCTATAGCTAAGATGGCGGAGGTTCGTCTACAACACGCGTTCCCGCGCTCTCTATGTGTCAATGCGGTTGTAACGAATTAAGTATGTTCATATTGATCGCGTGCTGATGACTTGGTGGTCCTCCAAGGAAGCTTAATTGTGGTCTAGTGGCGGCGGCCATTGCGGCAAATAAAGGCGGTGCTCCACCTCCTCCAAAGAGGGCGAAAGACGGAGGAAGAAGAGGCCTGGCTGATAGACGTAACTTTTCTATTTCAGCCTCTTGTAGCCGTTTCGCTTTTGCGCGTCGATTTTGAAACCAAATTTTTACCTGAAAAAAAAAACATTACCATAAATTATATTTTTACTTTAAAACTATGCATTGTTATATAATGTCATGGAAAAGTTTCTTCGTATTTTTTATACAAATTCTAAACATTTTTTTTACAAAGTTTAATTACATTTAATTATAATATAAATGTGCCATTTTGTTCGATAACTTCTTGCCATCTTGTAGGTAGTGACATAATCCCATTGCTGTAGAAATCTTGGGATGTTTTATCAAAAAAATGTGACTTTTGACAGTCCTCTCTTGATGTTAACCTAACACTAACCAAAAAATTCTGAAGAGATAAAACAGGTGAAAATCTGAGGGGTAAGGTCAGGACTATGGTGGATGCATTAACATTTCCTAACCAAGCTCTTTCAATTTTTGCTGAGTGGCCAAAGATGTGTGAAGTCTAGTGTTATCATGATGAAAGACACTACTTTTCTGTTGATCAATTCCAGCCGTTTTTTCTCAATTGCTTGATTGAGTCTCATTAGTTGTTGACAGTAGAGATCCGAATCGATGGTTTAGGCCGACGGTAAAAGCTCATAATAAAGGATGCCCTTCCAATCCCACCGTACACACAGCATCACTTTATACCCAATAATATACCCAAAAGTTAACCCGGGTTTCTTTGACCATGATTTTTTTCGCATTTGACCATGATATTTTTCATCTCCAGTGATCAATCTTTTCAAAAACGGTTTCATTACGTTTCAATGGAGAATCGCAAATGAGTACACGATTCATTAGGTTTTTTTTCAGTGAGACTTTTTCAAATGGGTTAAAACTGTTTTGTGGTCAATTCACAATTCCTCGGCTATGTCGTAACTACTAATATGTCAATCTTGTTCCATTTTTTCAAAAATGGCATCGACTTTATCCGTATGAGGGCGACCAAAACGAGCTGCAACATTGAAATCAAAATTTCCAGACTGAAAACGCTTGAACCAATTTTGTGCTACTCTTACTGACACTGCATTAGGTCCATAAACGTCACGAAAAATTTTCGCGGCTTGAGTCGCATTTTTTGTAGGAAGCTTCAGAATGCATCGAATTTCTTCGTTACATTCACTGAATTTAGCGTAGAGAAAAACAAGAGAAAAATGGCGGGAAAGTGTTTTTAAATTTAAATTTTTCTTTTTCTTAATGTCCTATATATTGATATTAAAACCAGTCAGATACAAGCAAATTTTTCAACTTAATCAGAGAGATTTATCTTCTTTAATTTTATAGCGTTTTTATATAATATGAAGCGTCAGTAACCTAATGGTAGGGCGCGGACCGCGAACTCGAAAGGTCGTGGGTTCGCATCCGTCATTCGACTACTGTCGTGAACCACTTCTAACACAAGCATTTTAAGCTTACTAGAAGTGGTTAAAGGGAATATTAGTAATGTTTAATGACATTACTAGTATTTAAAAAAAAAAAATATAATCGAAATACGAAGAAACTTTTTCTCCGACCTATTATTAACTTTTATTAACTACTTTGAGATTTTGCTATAGTTGCCACGCTTGATAACATCAGTTTTTTTCAATTATGAGTTGTTATCAGGGAGATGCTGTTGCCCGTCTCCTGTTTCAGTGTTTCTCTGTCGCTTCTTACCACACTTACGTGACGAAGTAGGGTAGTGGATATACTTACACCGCCACTACACGGCTAGGACTTTACGTTGTGTATCAATTATATTATGAGGAAAACAATTATTTAAGGCGAGGATTTCTTACGTTTAAAGGCTTTTAGAGCCTTAAGTTCGTTCTAAAATGCTATATTTTAGTCCAACATAAATAAAATTACAACTTAAATACATCCCACGGCTGGGCACAGGCCTGCCCTTTCTGAAATGATTTTGTTTTATTTGTAGCAGTTAGTGCGGCGTGTTGCTCCGGTGTGTTGGCTAAAATCGCATGTCCTCAAAATATATTATTCCTCAGGCATATCCCTATCGTCCCGTGGGATTGGGATTGGGGTGTTGTAAGCGACAATATAGATAGATAAACGCAAACAGGAGATGGGCTACAGCATTTTTGAAAATAATATAAGTTTTGCAGTTGCCAACCATATATCTATACGTATAATAAATCTGTAGAAAAAATGTGTGTTCACGATTCACGCAATAATTCCCGGACGAATTTCGGTGAAATTTTGTATGTAGGCAGTAGATGACCGTGTTTAAGATATAGGCCACTTTTTATCCGCTTACGGGAGAGTAAAAATAGGGATTATGTTTTTCCTTTTTTTAAGTTTGTTGTCATATAGTCCTAAAGAGAATTAAGCTATACGTATAATTAATCTATAGAAAAGTGTGTGTGTGTGTGTGTGTGTGTGAAAATGAAACTCATTGCGCCACCAACCACTACGAGCAGAATGACGTCTGCCGGGCCAGCTAGTATATATATATATATATATATATATATATATATATATATATATATATATATATATATATCATCATTATCATCATCCTTACAGCATTTCACAAGTCCACTGCTGAACATAGGCCTCCCGCAAGGAATGCCACAAAGCACAGTCCTGAGCCACCTGCATCCATCGACTTCCTGCATATCTTACCAGGTCGTCACTCCATCTCGTGGGAGGTCGCCCTACACTTCACCTACCGGTACGAGGCTGCCACTCAAGAACCTTTCTTCTCCATCGGTTGTCGGTTCTTCGAGCTATATGGCCGGCCCACTGCCACTTCAGCTTACTAACCCGTTGGGCTATGTCGGTCACTCTGGTTCTACTGTGGATATAATCATTTCTAAGTTTATCACGCAGAGAAACCCCGAGCATAGCCCTCTCCATAGCTCGCTGAGCGACCTTGAGCTTCCTCATACGGCCAGCAGTGAAGGACCACGTCTCAGATCCGTAAGTCATCACTGGCAACACGCACTGGTTGTACAATTTCGTTTTCAGTTTTTGAGGTATGTCTAACGAGAAGATGTGTTGGAAATTCCCCGAACGCTGCCCAGCCGAGTTGAATCCGTCGATTGACCTCTCGGTCGAAGTTGGACTTACCTAGTCGGAATATTTGTCCCAGGTAAACATACTCGTCAACAACTTCGAGCTTAGTGCTCCCAACAACTACCGGCATAGGTGTGACATGGACATTAAACATGATCTTTGTTTTGTCCATGTTCATCCTAAGACCTATTCGTTGGGAAACACTATTGAGGTCATTGAGCATGGTGCTTAGGTCCTCCAGCGATTCTGTCATAAGGACTATATCGTCGGCAAATCGAAGGTGTGTGATGTACTCGCCATTGATGTTAATACCGTATCCTTTCCAGTCCAGAAGCTTGAAAACGTCTTCCAATGCAGCGGTGAAGAGTTTCGGGGATATAACGTCACCCTGTCTTACACCTCTCTACAATTGAATAGGTTTCGTACTCTGGTTCTGTACTCGGATAGCCATCGTAGCTCTACTGTACAAACACTTCAGCACTTCGATATACCGACAGTCAACTTGGCACCGCTGAAGGGACTGCAGTACTGCCCAAATTTCGACGGAATCAAAGGCTTTCTCATAGTCCACATACGTCGGGCATAGTGGCAAATTGTACTCTTCGGACTTATGTGGTCTATGGTGCTCAAGCCCTTTCGGAAACCGGCTTGTTCGGGAGGCTGGAAGTCGTCAAGTCTGCGCGCGATATGATTCGTAATGACTCTCGAAAACAGCACGTAGACGCGGCTCAGAAGGGAAATCGGTCTGTAGTTCTTCAAGAGAGCGTTGTCACCTTTCTTGAAGAACAAGACCACCGCACTTCTGCTCCACGTCTCCTCCATTAAAGAGCTTCTGAAGGACTTCAAGTACCGGTCTTCCATGCGCTTTCAGAAGCTCCGCTGTAATTCCTTCCTCGCCTGGGGCCTTGCCGTTTTTAAGGTGCTGGAAAGCCATTCTAATCTTGCTCAGACTGACGTCCGGGATATCTTCGGAATAGTGTCGGATAAGACTCGCTATTGGATCGTTACTTACACTTGCGTGTGGCTCCAAAGATGACGTGTACAGCTAGTAGCAGCCCATAGAACCTCTCAATCTCACTCTAAATCTTAGGTGCCCCGGAAAAGATGCTGCCACACTGGGTCTTCAGCTTTGACAGTTGGCTCTTTCTGGCAGACAGATCTCTGGCAAAGACTTTGTAGCCTTGGTTTCGCTAGATCTCTTCTTCAATACAAGCTGTATTGAAGTTGCGTAAGTCCCGCCGCATGCATTTGGAGATCTGTCTGTTCAGTTGCCTGTATGCTGTCAAATCTGTTGAAGAATGTAGCTTTATTTCCCATCTAACAGCCATGAGGTTAAGAGTATGATCGGAGAGTTTTTGTGTTCTTTTGCGGCGGATCTTGCAGAACTTAGCTCCGACCGCATGGACAGTTTCCACGAGCTTGTCATTCATATCGTTTACTTCATTGCAGTCTTCTAGGCACTGAAAACGGTTTCGCAGCTCGGGCTGAAAGGTTTCGGGACTTTGGTACAGAGCACGAGGGTGGCTTGAATTAATTAGACGAGACCTCTCCAACTTAACGTTTAGGTTCAGTGTGCCTCTAACCATTCGGTGATCACTACCAGTTTTCACCCTCGCGATCACGGAGACATCACTGAACAGTTGTCGTTTGGTCGTCATAATGAAGTCAATCTCATTTTGTGTGGAACCGTCGGGGCTCGAACAGGTCCACTTCCTGTGGGGCCGCTTCTGGAAGAAAGAGTTCATCATAAAGAGTCCCTCTTTCTCCATGAAGTCGGCCAGCTGCTGGCCCCTTGGGTTCTGTTGCCCTTTTCCAAATTTCCCTACTTTCAGCTCACCGTTCTCTCTTGTGCCTAGTTTTGCATTGAAGTCTCCCACTAACACCATATATTGGATTTTGGAGGAATGCATGGCTCTAGAGATATCTTCATACAATTCCTCCACCTCCTCATCGGGATGTGCTGAGGTTGGTGCGTAAACCGTACCGTACCGTTTGGTGATTCTGAGTATAAGGTACGCAACCCTCGTCGACACACTCTCAATCTTTACAACGTTGTTAACGAGAGACTTGTGGAGGATAAATCCGATTACCTCCTTGGGACAGATGGTCGCCCTCCCGGTGATAGAGCAAGTTGCCGGATTCAAGGGTTACCGTGTCCTCCACTTCTCTTCGCACTTCGGATAATCCTATAATATGCCAGCGTAACTTGTCTATCTCTTCTTCCAGCTCCACGATCTTCTCGTCAGTCCTCAGGGTGCGTGCGTTGTATGTTGCCAGGTCGAGTCGTCTTAGGTGGCAACCGAACCTCCACCGGAGATTCTTAGCACCCCTGCCCCGCCGTTACCATGGTCGCCACCGTAGCCAGGAATAGCGGGGCCGCCGGGGACTGGGGGCCGTGTCTTTGTTGCTCTAATCATTGGGGGGTATTTGCCATAGTTGCCACGCTTGGCGAGCGGGTTGGCAACCGCAGTTTTTTTATATTGTATTTTTGCTGTTATCAGAAAGATGCTGCTGCCCATCTCCTGCCTGTTTCCCTTTGTCGCCTTTTACACCCACGGGAAGATATGGGGTAGTGGATATTCTTAACCGCCACTACACGGCACTATATATATATATATATATTTGGCTCACGATGATTTACTTTACCAGAGCACGTGGTAAATCAGCACTTATAATTAGAATTAAAATTTTCTGTAGTGTCTGAACTTGGTCACTTTAAAATTTAAAAATTATAATTATTGTTGGGCGATCGCATAGCCCTAAGCTACTGCGGCGCTTTTTAGTGAATATCTCAATCGTGAATTTTTTTTCAGTCACTTGTTAATTTGCCTTCCAAATAATGCCAGCTTTCTACCCTTCTATCGAAAATGTTAGATCCCGACTGTAACAGTACTTTCATCAGCTATTTTTCTTAATATGTTATAATATATGGACAAATCCGCGTGTATGGCGATAATAATTAATCTTACAATTTTAAAAGGAGTGGATATCCACTTCCACTTTCTTATCACCACATTGACCTTCATCACTTTCTCAACTTTCTTACCAAAATTTGAAGGTTTACGTCGCAAAGATCTTTTGAGTTTAGCAAGCCATATAAAAATAATATCACCAAACGGAACACTTGAGGTTATCTTTTAAAAAAAATGTTTATTCAAACTTATTTTAATTTTCATATCTCAAGGAAATCGTTAAGATATTAAACTTTAGTTATATGTAGTACCAATGTAGTATATTGATAAAATGTCATTATCATGATCAGCATCATTACCTACAGTTTATCACAAGTTCACTGCAGAACTTAGAATTCTTCCAAAGATTGCCACAAATTACATTTTTCATCAGGTCATCACTAAATGTAGTAGATGGTCGTCTAACACTGCGCCTTTCAGTATGGAGTTCGAAACTTAACTTCTGAGAGCTAAATGGCTTCCCATTGCCACTGCAGTCAAATAGTAGGAAATAACCGGCTAAGTGCGAGTCGCACTCGCGCCTGAAGGGTTACGTACCATTGTAATACACATTTCTATTTCTAGTAGGACAGCCTATTTTTTATTATTTATTGTTATAGTGGCAACATAAATACACTCTCTACCTATGACGGATCATAAGATACAGCCCGCTGACATACAGACAGACGGACCGACGGACGGACAGACGGACAGTGGAGGCTTAGTAATCAGGTCCCGTTGATTGCCCTTTGCGTACTCAACCTTAAAAATCTGTTAACGATTTACATCATATATTATCGATAATTTTACCTGCGTCTCAGTAAGCCGTAAAGAAGAGGAGAATTCCGCTCTCTCTGCGATGCTCAGGTACTGCTTATCTCGGAACTTCTTCTCGAGAGCCAGAAGCTGTTGTGTTGTAAATGGCGTCCGCGGCTTGCGGTTAGGCTTGTGCTTGCGCAGCTGACAGCGTACGACTGGCGGTCCACTTGGCGGCCCGGCTGGAGAAAACCAATTTGTAAGTTAGGGTAGACTGAGCATCTTTTTTGTGTAAATAGATTTTAGATTGTGGTGGTGGCTTAAAAGAACCCATTGAACCATGAAGTGAAAGACTTCATGGTACACCTATGAGTGTACCATGAAGTGGAAAAGAAGTAAAACCTTACCCATAAGATTTAAGTATGTAAAATTACAAGTCTTGGAAAGATATAAAAAAGAAGATAATTTGAAAATCACGCTCCAGAAAGTACCTATAAAACAGGAAAATATTCTCATATGAAATTGTTATGTACAAACTATTCAATACTTATCGACTATGAAATAAATAAGTTACACGATCTATATTTTAATGTATTTAACACATATTTATAGTGATGTTCAGAGGATAGCCGTGGACTGGAGCCCTTCGCAGTAGAAAAGTCCTACCACCTTATAAGTTTTTTTTATAGGATAGGGGGCAAACGAGCATGCGACTCATCTGATGGTAAGTGACTACCGCCTCCCATGAACAACTGCAACACCAGGGGAACCAGGGGAATCGTAGATGCGTTTCCGGCCTTTTAAAAAGAAGTAAGCTCTTTTCTTGAAGGGCCCTAAGTCGTATCGGTCCGGAAAATCGCTGGTGATAATCGACTCCACAGGGAAGTTGTGCGAGGAAGAAAACATTTTCTAAATCGCGCAGTGGTGGACCGCCAATCATCCAGATGGTGTGGATGGTTTGTGAAATTTGGCGGCTGCGATTAATCCGAACAATTCCTCAGAGCACTCCTCGTGGTAAATGTAAATGTGAAATATATATATCATCATTATCATCATCATTACAGGCTTTCATAAGCCCACTGCTGGACATAGGCCTCCCTCAAGGAATACCACAAAGCATGGTCCTGAGCCACCTGCATCCATCGACTTCTTGCATATCTTACCAGGTCGTCACTCCATCTCGTGGGGGGTCGCCCTACACTTCGCCTACCGGTACGAGGCTGCCACTCAAGAACCTTTCTTCCCCATCGGTTGTCGATTCTTCGAGCTATATGGCCGGCCCACTGCTACGTCAGCTTACTAATCCGTTGGGCTATGTCGGTTACTCTGGTTCTACTGTGGATATACTCATTTCTAAGTTTATCACGCAGAGAAACCCCGAGCATAGCTCGCTGAGCGACCTTGAGCTTCCTCATACGGCCAGCAGTGAAGGACCACGTCTCAGATCCGTAAGTCATATATATAAATAGATGTCGCTATGACCATCACGTATGTATTGTAAAATAACTGTATGGTCGACGATAAGTGGCAATGTTGATTGTGAGACGTATTGCAAGCCAATTTACCAGCCAAGCATAGTGATTATGGAAAGTTTTCTTACTGTGGCTGAGGGGTAAGTCTATATTTATGGACTGATAAAGAGAAGGAGATAACGAAGACGAGTAAGAAGAAATTTTCATCACAGGATATCGATTTTCAACTGGAGTTTTGTAACAAAGGCTTGCGCTGTTGACGACCCGGTAGCATTGCTTAATTTACTTGTTGTTCAACTTTATGATGCTCATGCTCCTGTCCGTCCAGTTCGAATACGTCACCCTCCAGCTCCGTGGTTGACTGAAGGTCTTAAAAGATTGTAAGACGGTTAGATTTACGGAGAGTCAAGTCAAGGAGATGTATAAACTCCTGCGGAATCAATGCAACAAGATGTGTAGGGATTTACGACTTCGCCAATCCATAAATCGGTACAAATTGAAGATATATGTAGTGTTTGGAACTTCATGCCCTATACCAAATAACGTCAATTTAAATGTGCTTAATCAGCATTTTCTTGCGTTTCTTGCTTTGACAATATTGCGAAATCAACTACACCTACTAAGTTTCATCGTTTCCCATTTTTGACTTTTCCACATTTGTTTTTAATCAATTTGCATTAACTGCTTAAACACAAATGTTTAACCCTTTAAAATCCCAAGACATAGTTATTGGGAGTTCAAGGATGGTTTCCGAATTAAAAAAAAAGTCAATTACATCCCGTTGTATTTAGTAGTGACCCTATCCCTTACACTTACAACGACGTTGTTAAAAATTTAGGTATCCTTTTGGATTTTAGTCTTTCTTGAACTCCTCACTCCTAAAGCCTACTTTTTTTGAACCCATTTCTACCAAAATTTTGCTTGTAAAATCTTTACTTCTTCCTTTGCTCGGCTTTGCTGACATTCGTTACCTTGATATTACCGAGAAGGAACTTAAAAAAATTTGTTATTTTTATCTTGTTGTTTGTTCAATAAAAAGTATTGTATTGCATTGTATCGTATCTTATGTATTAAATGTTTTACATGTATGTTGTACCAAGTGAGATATTATTAAAGGGTCAAACAATGAATCTTCATACATTCCATTGCCATCTGTAAATGTCCACTTTATTTTTTATAGAATAAGGATGACAAACGAGCACACAGTCCACCTGATGGTAAGTGGTTGCTGTGACCCATAGACATCTACATCTATCTTCGTTTATGAATTAAAATACAGATGCGTTGTCAGCCGTGAGGACTAAGATAGAATGCCTCTTTTCCAGTAAAAAGGGTCTCCGTTTCTCTACATTCATCATACGAAACACAGCAGCATTAAGCTGCTATTTTACTCTGTTATTCTGTGAGAGCGTGGTCCTTCCCCGGTCGAGCCGACTCATTCGTGCTACAACTATACTATTAATATAGCAGCAGCGTTGCTCTACCACGTGTATACCACTGCTGAACATAGGCCTTCCCTATAGATTGCCTCATTGGAGGGATTTCGACATAGTTGCCTCACTTGCCGGGAGGGTTAAACCGCAGTTTTATTGATAATTTTGAGTTGTTTTCAGGAAGACTCTGCTGCCCATTTCTTGTTCCAGTTCCCGGCTATCGCCTTTTTCGACACCCAGGGGAAGATAAGGGGTAGTGAATATGCTTATACCGCATGTACTCTGTTATTAACCGTGTATTGCGTAAGAAGAACCGCTAATGGTTAATTAGATGATATTCTTACACCGTCACATACAATGAATTTCAAACCGCCGATATTTTCTTAAAATATTTTGTTTTCAAAATCAAATAAAGTAGAAGAGAATAGATTAATTTTTATTTTAAAGATCACATGTAATTCTTGTTTAAAGTCATTTTTTACTTTACCACTGGTTTGGAAAAGAATTGGTCCTGGGAATAACCAGCAAGGAACCCAATCTTATCGGAGAGCATTCCGTAAACTCTCATTACATCTATTACTTCTTTACTTTTTATATAAAATCATCATCACTATTGTCTTCTCACTTTTCACACTTTCAGTTCGAGTTACAAAATCGTTTTCAGTGGGCGATATGAACGACAAGCTCGTGGAAACTGTCCATGCGGTCGGAACTAAGTTCTGCAAGACCCGTCGTGGAAGAACACCAAAAATCTCCAATCATCACTTAATCTTATGGCTGTTAGACGGGAAATGAAGTTGCAGTCTTCACCAGATTTAATAGCATATAGGCAACTGAACAGACAGATCTCCAAATGCATGCGGCGGGACTTCAGTTCAGCTAGTATTAAAGAAGCAATCGAGCGGAACCAGGGCTCCAAAGTCTTTGCCAGAGACTGTCTGTCAGAGAGAGCCAACTGTTGAAGTCGAAGACCGAATGCAGCAGCATCGTTTCTCTGATACCGGGGATTTGACTGTGAATCAGAGGTTCTATCGGCAGCTGTAAACGTCACACACACACACAAGTATGAGTTGCGAAAACTATCATAGTACCATAAATACGGCAAGGCTCCGGGCGAGGATGCAGTTATAGCGGACTTCTTACATATATGTGGGTGGAAAAACAGTACTTGAAGTCCTTCCGAAGCTCTTTAATTCCGTCCTCCATGGTGGGACTACTTCGGAGGCGTGGAGCAGAAGTGGGGTGGTCTTGTTCTTCAAGAAAGGCTACAACGCTCTCTTGAAAAACTTAAGACCGATTTCCCTTCTGAGCTCCGTCTACATGCTGTTTTCGAGAGTCATTACGAATAATCTCGCACACAGACTCGAGCACTTCCAACCTCCCAAACAAGCCAGTTTCCAAAAAGGCTTTAGCACCATAGTCCACATACATACCCTTCAGAAACTTGTACAGAAGTCCGAGGAATACAATTTGCTACTTTGTCTGGCGTATGTGGACTATGAGAAAGTCTTCGATTCCGTCGAAATTTGGGCAGTGCTGCAGTCCCTTCAGCGGTGCCAAGTTGACTGTCGGTATATCGAAGTGCTGAAGTGTTTGTACAGTAGGGCTACGATGGCTATCCGAGTACAGAACCAGAGTACGAAACCTATCCAACTGCAGAGAGGTGTAAGACAGGGTGATGTTATATCCCCGAAACTCTTCACCGTTGCATTGGAAGACGTTTTCAAGCTTCTGGACTGGAAAAGATACCGTATTAACATCAACGGCGACTACATCACTCACCCTCGATTTGCCGACGATATAGTCCTTATCAATGGATCAATGGATTAGTGAGATGAAGTGGCAATGGTTCGACCATATAACTTGAACCAACTACAGATGTGGAAGAAAGGTTTTCGAGTGGCACCCTCGTACCAGTAGACGAAGTGTAGGGTGTCCCTCCACTAGATAAGACATGCAGGAATTCGATGGATGCGGCTCAGCTAGCTCAGGACCGAGCTTTGTGGCGTTCCTTGAGGGAGGCCTATGTTATGCAGTGGACTTGTGAAGGGCTGTAATGATGATGATGAGGTGGTATTATAATTTACTTATCAACGTAACGTATCATTAATCATTTAGCACGGGGAGTGCTCTGAGGAATTGTTCGGACTAATTCCAGCTGCTCAATTTCACCATCGTACATCGCGACAAAACTTGCGATACCATCCATACCACCTGAATGATTGGCGGTCCATCACTGTGCGATTTAGAAGATGTTTTCTTCCTCGCACAACTTCCTTGTGGAATCGATTACCACCAGCGATTTTTCCGGACCGATACGACTTAGGGACCTTCAAG